ATGAATATTCTTTCATTAAACCCCTGAAGAGTGAAGCGATTCACGAAACAGGCTTGTCGGGAAATGTAGTTACGTCCTTTTTTCCTCTCATAATATATATATATATATATATATATATATATATATATAAATATTATGAGAGGAAAAAAGGACGTAACTACATTTCCCGACAAGCCTGTTTCGTGAATCGCTTCACTCTTCAGGGGTTTATTTATTCTGCTCTGCTTCAACGTATTGAGCACTGTTCCACGCGAAAATCGACTTGCAGACTTCCTATATATATATATATATATGTTTACGGAGCTCGGTAAATATCTGCCACTCTCACCGACACTTAGATGAACAATTGACTTAGTATAAACTTCACAGAAACCACAAAGAATTAGCTAATTTTTTTTTTAATCTATCAAAATATGGACTGAAATTGAATTTTTGACGCGCGATTTTGTCTCTTCGGCTGTTGAGAGGTGAATAGTACTTGCTAATCTCTTCCGAACCAGCTAATCAGCGCGCGAAAAAAGCACAAATGGCTATCTATCTCTACCCTCTCCACGTTTTTCAATGTCCTCACTAACGCATCCAGAGGACGGGGTACCATGTAGAACAAATTCTTGTAATTATACCAAGGTTGATCTACATACCTTACACGGATGCGCGATGGTGTGTCTTTCGAGACACAATGAGCTGCAGTTACCACCCACCAAGGATTCACCAGAGTTCCGCCGCAAAATGGGAAACCGTGATACTGCGTGATTTGAGCTTGCCATGGCCAAGCTCCTCGAGGAGCCTCCGTGCCACCAACGATTCGAGTATGAGGCTTGTATCCGCAATCTCCTGAGCCACCAGTTGGTGGCCCTCCGCCGTTACCACCGTTGCCTCCATTGCCGCCATTGCCGCCATTGCCGCCATTACCGCCATTGCCGCCATTGCCGCCATTTCCACTATTACCGCCACCACCTTCGCAGAATCCACACGTCCTTCTGCAGTATTTTGTCATGTAATCTTTCCACTTCGGGCAGTATCCTGCTCGCTTCCACTTCTCACAGTCTACGTTGACGTCCTCACACCCTTAAATTCATTTTAGAGAAAGTTTACTCATCATGATCACCATTTTATCTCACAATTTGGATATGCGGGTGACGTTTCCATTCTGGACTGAACCATTTGAGAGTAAATACCATTATTCCCGTAAAGACGAAAATCAAAGCATGGAGGAGAATTTCAGAATCTCAGTTCCATCAGATTAGAGAAGTCCCAATAACGAAGAAAAGGAGGCTTATAGGAGATCTCCTTCTTAGGTTGGAAAGCAAAGTAGGGAAGACCCACGAGGAAGTTCATGCAGGCTTATCTTATCGTTTGCTTTAAGCGTCTGAACTACAAAGTCTGCATAAATAATTTTCACAGTCATATTCGAGCGGCAGGAGTTGTTCAATGATTTTATATCCAAAGGACGACAAGGATCGCTTCATACTTCAGAAAAACAACATGGCTGTTCTGTTAAAAAATACTGACAGGAAAGAGTTTAACGCAGGTAATACACTTACCATATGTAAGACTTGCCAAAACAGAGACGCCCAAGACAAAGAGAATCGAATTCTTCATGATCGTCGTCATGAAATTGTGAAATACTCAGCTTTCCTTTTACTGCCTTATATTGTTAACATTGCACGAAGAAAGATCGACAGAGCAAGCAAAGCAGGTAGAATTAGCAAACAACCAAAGCTAACCTTGTATTAAACATAATTTCAGAAAACTTCTTTTGACATTTCAGAAGTTACAATTTGGTGGCTGTTTAAACACACAGACAGTAGAATTTTATGAACAGTCAAAAAGTTTTAACAGCAATTATGATGAACTCAGTACATCTGGCTAACCTGGTAAAGCAACGTGGTTTTGAGAAATTAATACACTGAATTTCGATTTTGTCTGGCATCCATCAGATAAGATAAGGATCGACTTTCATTTAAAACTCGCTAACTTTGGCCATCTATACGAGCAGCTTGACGTAAGAAACTGTTCATACCGAGTTGCATAGTGAACTCTTTTTCTTTTACGTCAAGACTGAAAATTTAGAGGGCAAAATTAGGATGTGTTATTTTCCAATCACTTTTGACGTTCTGCAAATTACAAAGTGCACTCTGTTAGGATTTTCACCATAGGTAAATCAACTGAGAAAACATGAGGCTATTATTTTTGCAGCTTTATTTGTTTAAGGAAAGGGATGATTATTCCAGCCTTTTCTAGGCTGGGATTTCACAAAAGTTGCCCATTTAATTTTCTATCTGTTATCTTCATTTTTTTTACAATAAGACAACTAGAAGGGTATATTTAGGAGCCCATTTGAACTTTTTGAAGAATTTGAAACTCTATCTGACTAAAGGGGTCGGTCTGGCTTGGATCCCCTCTATATTTTCACGGGATGTATCGCTTCGTGGGCAATGACACCCAGAAATGTCCTCGGTTACCCCCAGAGGCAGTGGAAACCCGATAGGATATCATGATCTCTTCGGAGGCTATGGAGGCCTGTGGTCTAAAAAGTCTATAACGAGAGGCAGAAATAGCTGGCGAATTTATTATTTTGACTATAAAATGTAAACGATAAAGAAAAAATAATAACGATGCAAATATTAACATTGATAAACTTTGAATGACGAAGAATAAAGAAGTATACTAAGCGAAAGTTTGATGTAGAAAAAATGAAAACGAAATTATCTTGATATGCCAATTGTACTTAAAATTCAAGGGAAGCTCGCCAAACTTATTTTTAAGTGGCATGCGTATCTTTGAAGCTGAAATTAAGGCTTTTTCTGTAAGCTGCACTATTGATCGTTACTATTGGAATCCAATACTTGAAATAAAAAAATTCAAACCAATCAGACCCAACTTGTCTATTTCTCGTAAAGAGTTATATTAAAGGAATAAACACTTCAGGGTTTACAACTTGACTTCAAGAGCTGGTGTGTTACTGGGATAACTGGAGTAACCTATGTGAGGATGTAACAAGAGAAGCGAATAAGTCACACGGGGTACAGCCGATCAACTTATTAACAATTTTACCATACTACTACCAGCAAATTCGGAATAACACATTTTGTGGGAGTTTCGTATTTTATTTGCAATGCCATCACTTTATTTGTCTAATAACTGCTCATTGTACTGTCAATCCATTGCCTTAAGTAACGGACCCTAGCGTAAACGCCATATTTTCCCGGAGCAGCACAGCCATGCCCCCACGATACAACTCCCTCGAGAAAGAACTTTCCATTAAATTCGCACACCAAAGGACCACCTGAATCTCCTTGGCAGGAATCTTTACCTCCCTCTGACAATCCAGCGCATATCATGGAGTCGTGAATGGAATTGTATGCCAGCTTGCACTGGGACTGCGGAACAATTGGTACGTCAACTTGCATGAGCATTTGGGCGAGAGAGCCGCCTGAAGACAGAGTACCAAATCCTACCAGATGGAAAAAAGAGTGAAGGATAACGCCAGAACTGAGTGTTATTTCACTAAATGACGTTAAAAGCAACAAATGTGGCCGTAAAAATGGGCTTTCTCTAGCTTCGATTCCAAGCCGCTTCTCACATTCACCTATATAAGGTTGTTCAGTGAGGTTGCTTTGTTCAGACTGGTTTGAGTTTTTTTTGCGGAATATATCTTTTATACCATCATCAGTCACGTGAAGAACAAGTAGTTACCTGTAACCCAACACATCTTCCCATCCAGGTCTTTTCCACTTGAGTCTGGTAAACAGGCCAAGTTCACATGTCTGTTTATCTGAGCGGGCCTGCGCAGTTTTAACAAAGAGATATCGTGGGCCATTCCGTAAGGTCTTTTGTAGCTATGGTGATTTATGACTCGTTCCACCTCAAAATCCTGTTCATGGCCTTCGTTGCCTTTACGGTAATGTGCTCCAAGTCTGCGAAGTGAAGAACTCCCCATGGTTATGTCATTGCTTTCATCGAATTACTTAACCCGTTACCTATTTAAAACCATGAACGTTTTATATCCAAAGTTTAAAGCTGACTACAACGATAAAACACCTTTTCCGGCGTCTCATCAAGGTGTAACTCTTTCTTCAAAAAGAAAGAGGATGGCGACTTTTTTAAAATAGCATATCAAAGACATTACCAGCGAACGTTTTTCAGCTGTACATATATAGCTAATAATTCAAGTTTCCTTTGAACAACATTATGATTTCGGTGCTGTACTATTTAAAACGTGAGAACATTATCAAGAAAGTTCTTAGAGCTTAAAGCCGGATATTTTAGTGATCTTACCTTATACGAATGCTTGAAGAAGATTTACCTGACGTGCAGTGAGCTGCTGTGACAACCCACTGAGGACTAACCAGAGTTCCACCACAAAATGTAAAACCGGATCTTGACCGGACCTGAGCCTGCCACGGCCAAGCTCCTTTGGGTGCCTCAGTACCACCAACAATTCGTGCACTTGGCTTATACCCACACTCACCGTTTCCACCACCTCCTCCGCCGCCGCCATTGCCACCGTTCCCATCGCCACCACCTCCGCCGCTGTTTCCTCCGCCACCATTACCACCGCCATCCCCTCCACCGTTGCAATAACCGCAAGTTTTCTTGCAGTTTCTCTTCATGTAATCTACCCAATTGTTTACTTTGCAGTAACTTTCATAATCAGCACAGTTCACTGCACTGTCCTCACAAACTGAAAAATATATGAGCAACAATTGCTGCAGAAATGATCTAAATTCAGAATGAAACCATTGCATTTTACCTCTACTATCATAGATAGCAAATAGGTAATTTACAGCGATAATTTTTCTTCTTTGGTGAAATCCAAAACCACCAGATAACCTTCTAAGACCCTTAAAGCATGGACTAGAACCGAAACAAGGCTCAACCCATGTGTGTCACGAGAAGTCTGGAGACGATCCCAAAAAATCACTATGAAAGGTAACTATTTTTACCCCAATTGGCAGCGATGTCGCAATCTTATTGGCCAATTTTGCTAGACGGCGATATCGTAGTTAAAAAAAAATTCGACAATAGTTTACCATGGCTTGTACAATGATATTCTTCATCGGCTGCGTCTCGTAAGCCCACAACATTTTGACCACTGTGATGGCGAATATCGTTGTATATAAGACTACAGACCACGTTAGACCACTGTCGCTTTGTTTAATTAAGTACCGGTCCATTAAAGGTATGGATAGAAAAGCACAAAGCAGGTCATTTACCCTCAGAAAATACTGCAGGAATGGCAAAGACAGCAATGGCCAAGACATTGAACTTTATCGTGAACTTCATGATTGGGAGGAAACTCGCTTCAAAATAGCAAGTGAAGATATGCGTCTTTTCATTTCTTTTTATTCCAAATATCTAAAGCTGAAAAACGGCCTGAACAAATTGGAAACTTCTGCACATGGGTATGTCAGTCAAATGCAGCATGAGAAGATTTTTGTTGGGAACCGGATAAATAGTAGCAATCATGAATATTTCCCTTGGTAAATATATTATTTATGGTGTGCAGTTAAACAGGCACATCTCAAGAAGAAATAAAAAAGATGATTACGAAAATGTAACTAATTTATATCCCTACCATGGCCTTTACGAGGAAGTAAACATTGAAAATATACCTGGAATAAAGTACAGTCAAACGTTTCTACTTCTTTTGAGCAGAAAAAAGAAATAGGTTTGAAGTAAATAGAAGGAATCTGGGTCTTTTTTACTTCAATGTTGAACCAGTCACACCTAAAACAACAAAGATAAGCCAGATGTTATATATACCGTTCAGGGAAATGGATAGACGTTCCTTGTAATTTGTGTATCCAGAATAAGTGGATGTAGACAGCTGGGCAACCTGCATAAATTTTAACAAACCTGAGCCATTCGCGTTAATTTTTCCCAAAAGAAATAAAGGTGAAACTCCACCTATCACGATTTTAAGCAAATAAAACTGCTTCAGTAGTCAAAATACACTATTTTTTGATAAAAAAGTTAATCTACGCAATCGGACAAAAAAATTGGTCACAAAGTCTGGAAAACTATGCTTCTCGTGGTTTCTGTCCCTGGCCAACCTAATGAAACGATAAATGAACGATTTAATATTGCAGAACTTTGGCATTGATAGAAAGACTGTGGCAGTCAAGACGTAAAGATTGGATATTTATGCGAATTTCTTCAAAATAATTCACTCAAGCTTCATTCCAGCTCCCTTTCTAGTTTCTCTCTCATCCTTTTTCGCTTCTCATCCCTTTTAAACTTTGTCTACGAACGCCCTTGTGCTTCTCAAGAAATGATTTTCCTTCCAAAAGCTCCAAAAATCTGTCTTTTGTGATTATTTCATCACAGCCTTTAAGACTACGATATACCATGCTGTAAATGATACTTTGGTTTTATCAAGTGAGTTGACACTATAGATTGGCCACCATAAAGATTTTCTACAACCGGCGTTTTGAGTTTTAGCCCTTCTTGGGGCTAATGCTCGAAACTTCATATTTAGAGACTCGTTACGGTGGCCAATCTACTTTATCAACTCAGTTGATAAAAACACATTAACCTGTATACGATGCTGCCAGTTGATTTTTGCAATTTTCACAGTGGCTTGAAGAGGAGGGTTGTTGACTGCAGACTCTCCTCAATAA